TTATGACATAAGCAGTAAAAAAATAATGGTAAGGAGAAGATAATATTTCAAAATCAGTAATCTACCTGCATACAGATGGAAAATGAGTTCAGACTTTTATACAAAAATAGAAAGTTGTGTTAGATGAACATGTATTATCTCACCAGACTTATTTAACCTATACAGGAGGCATTTCTGAGAAAATTAGAAACTTGCAGGAATCGTTATTGGCAGGCACAATCTTAACAACATAGGCATGCATATGACACAGTGTTGATAGCAGACTTGAAAGTGTTGTGGAGAGTCCTAACACCTTCATGTTACTAAATGCTCATATGAAGTTCCTCCTCCTCCTAATTGGAGTCATTATATATAGCCTGGGTAATACAGATATGTTAATTAGTTAATCTACATATCACTACAGAAAGAAAGCTACAAAAAACTCCCTGGTAATGAAGGAAATCAAGAAGAAATGATTAAACATCAACTGTAAGAAGACAGAATGCATTGTTGTTACTAAAACACAAAGCATTTTTTTTAAAAAATAAATTCAACTTTTCTAACACCAACACTTTAATAGGACAATAGCCTGGTGTTGGATGAAGGTAGAGAACCTTTTATAAATTCTTCAAGGATGTCAAATTTCAAGGTTTGGTAGGTGAGCAGATGCATTGTCAGGGCGAGAAGGGCTTTGCAGGACAGATTATTTTCCTGAGATATTTCTTACACAACCAACTCCACACAAAGAACTGCCTGGTGACACGATCTCAAGTTTTCCCTCCATATTACTTCTATGCAGTTTTTTCTTTCAGAATCTTATGTGACTTAAAGGGCCTGCGGTTTTTAATGATAAACAAGCGGTGGCTTAATCTTTGGTAGTCGCCGCTTGTATTGACACACAGTGCAAAAGGTTAGGTATTCTTCATGGACTTGAGGTCTGGCATCCAATTCTCCTGCTGTTATATAAGTCCTCTTTGGCATTGTCTTCTAAAAAAGCCCTGTCTCATCACAGTTGAAGACTTGCTGGGGTATGTATCCTCCGCTGCTATAATTCGAGGCAAAAGTTTTGGGGTAATACTCAGCTGCCTTCATATCTCCAGTCATCTCATGCTTGACAATGGAATGAATGCTAGTCCTTTTTTATAGTTGCTTGAACCAGCCCTGACTGGTTTTAAGCTCCTCACTCGATCCCCATCTGTTAAAGTGCCAATAGTCTGCTGCAACAAATCAACGAATAGCTTGTGCCTTCTCATGAGATTATAAGCCTCCATCATTGGTATCTCCTGCAAGCTACTTCTCCATCAATCACACCATCAGCGCTTTTCTATATTTTCATGGATAGATGTCAGCTGTTTTAGAAATTATTTTAACACCTGTGACTAGCGTTATAGCCTTTTATCAACTTCTTCTGTTTCAGCATGGTGCAGATCATATGTGCTCGTCCGCATTGATTTGCCACAAGTTGACTACATGCACGCCTTGGATCATGTTTTTCAGTAATTTCTTTCTTTAATTCAATGCACATCATCTGCTTCTTCTTCTCAGCACTGTCCTTCATACTTACTTTCTTCAGACCTATAGTTGGAAAAATAAAATTTTGGAAAATAACTGCAAGCTGCTAATAACAACACCAAATGCTTCCTGCAGGCTAACTGCTTAAAGTGAACGAGGAGACACGGGATATTGGGCAGATGTTGGTGATCCACTGTGGCATATGCTGTGTCAACTAGTGGCAATTGAAGTCTGAATTCTCAATAGCCCAATTTTTTATTTTAGCTCTCAACTCAAAGTTAAAAATCGTCTAAAGACAGCTATTATCTCAAAAAACTTATTAGTTGGGACACACTCATAACTAAGTTAAGATCCACAGTGTTGTTAAATTTGGTTTAATGTTTCTGAATGATTTTTTACATACCACTGAATTACCCACTTTATACTTCCTACATTTTTTTAAACTAGTCTCATACTCCTGAAGAATAATAAACATTAATCGTCGTGAATAATAAATGAGAGGAGAGATAATCACCTCCGGGTACTGTTATTCAACATTTCAAACAACTTTGCAAAACCAAAACTGAATTACCTCCCTTAATGCCGTACTTTTTTTCAACTTTGGCCTCATATTCTAAGCACTCACTTCTTTTAATTTCTTGAATCAGGCGTTTAAAATTTTAAAAATAGGGCCTGCTAGTAGAATTTCCTGAAAATAAATGATCAATGGGTAATTTTATTTCAACATTTTTTTTCATTTCCGTGTAAAAAGATGAAATATAATTGGACATTTTTTAAATGATAAAATAAAAATAAGAAAAGTTAATAAATGGTCCAATCACGTTTTTTGTATTTGATATAACAATAATAACATCATAAAATAAAAAAACTCTGCCGTTCAAAGTGAGTTTATTAATTTCATTTTTTTAAAATATAGTTTAAATAAATTAAAGTGCATAAAAAAGCGTTATTTTATTTTTTTATTGCAAATGCTCGTATTTCAAAACAAAAAGAATTTGATATATTATCATTATTATTATTTACCACACAAAAAAAATAAAATAAAATAAAATAAATCTGCTATTTGTCAGCTAAAAGAAATTTTTAAAAAATCACACAATTTAAAAGGAATAAAAAATTGTTTGAAATGCTAAAACTTAAGGGTCCTCAACAACAAAAATTGGATAAGTCTAGCTAGGCGAAGTTTTATGTTGACGTTTTATGAAATTATTATTGTCAAAAGATCTTTACTTCACTTATAGTCCCGATTGAACATCATTTTACGCAATTTAAGATAAGCCTTATTTGAAATTGAAATAACAAGGTGTTCATTCTAATGAAATAACGCGCCAATTATAAAAATAAGTGGACAAAAACTTTTTGTAATTAAAAATATACTTACCTAAAGATATAAATTTGAGAAATCAAACATAAAAGTAATATCCATAATGATGAATGTAAGCAAATTGGAACTTTAATATTGATATTTTTAATCCGTAAGAAGACAGATAAGAAAAATCTCTAATCACTAAAACCGGAATAAATCATTTGTTTATAGCCATATTCGCGGGGTTGTCAACGCGATTATATCTTTTTATCACAGTAAAAAACAATCCGCAGAAAAACTACAAAGCTAAAATATGATTTGTAAATGATTCATTAACAAAATATTTATATAACATTTTAAATATTTGAATTCGCTTATTTTATACCTTTTAAAGTTAATAAAATTTTACAGATGTTTTATTACTGCCTGAGAATTTTCTGCTGATAAATGTTATTTAATTTGTCCGTAAGCTGGGCGTTTATCGCAATTGAATCAATGGTAAAAAAAAAATTGGTGGATTTCCAAACTTTATTTTAACAACAACGAAAGAAAATATTTTGACATAAAAATTGTTAATTACTTCGGAAAAAATAGTTAAGTAAAAAAGGTGGATGTTGATTGTAATTTTGTACAAAGACATTTTCTTAAACCGGATAATGATTTAAATTCAAGAAAAACTAAAAAAAAAAAGTGAACAAAGGAAAAGGTGAATTTTTTATTTTGTTTACATAACTTTGGCCGATTCAATTTAACTTTAATTATTTTAAATTTAAAATGGCAGGGGAGTTTTATTGTGTTCAATAAATGTCTGAGGCGTGGTTATAAATTCCTGTTAGTAACTAGGACCTATGGGGCTCTCATATTAAAAGGAGAGAGTTTGTGTTCCCCAGAGCCAAAACCCTTGGGCAGCACCTTCATTTTCTCATTAAAGAGGTCTCACCGGGTCAGTTTCTGATGCCAGCGTGACATCAGGTTAGTTCGGGGCCAAAATAAAAAAAATACCAATAATTTTTGTCTTTGTCCCTTATATATAAAATAAAATATCAATATTAAAAATCCTAAAAAGTACATCCAGAAAATCAAATTCAACCAAAAACGAAAAATATATGTTCTTTTAAATCAAAAATACTCGATCATCTTTTCATGAATCAAACCAAATACAAATCGATTTGTCATTTGACTCTTATAATAATAGTAAAATTTTAACTCAACATTTATAAAAATGTTATTTTTCAAGTTTCATTATATTTTATTTATATTTAGAATATATCTTTTTAATATTTCTGATATAAATTTGTTAAATTTATTTATTCCTATGCTACTGACATTTTTGTTGCTTCATATTTAAAACATAGTTCAACCATTTGAATGAAAAAATTCGAAGAAACAGGCAGTTGGAATGATCAAACACAATAAAATTTCACTGATGGAGTAAAATAAAATAGTCCGAATAATGTAAATAGTGTTCACAAGAAGAATTCTTATAGAAGCCAATATATATTTTAAAAATATTTTTACACTGAAACTAAAAGACGAATAGTGAGGCAAGTATATCCAATGGTAGATCAATGCACTGAGAAAATTAATTTTATATGTGACCTGTAGTTTTCGTATAATTTATGTAATCGAACTGTTATAGGAAAAGAGAATTTCATTGTTTTCTCCCTATTTAAATCAATTTCCCCAAGTTGAAAAGGAGAGTATTTTATTAGATTGGCCAATTTCAAAGCGCTCCAATGTAAAAAAAAGGAAGATAACTTGATCGCTCAATTGAATTTCGGGAGGCAGTGTCGCATTGAACGCATCTTTGAAGCTTTGGCGGTCGTTCCGATAAATAAAAGCTAAAAAATAACAACACTCGACGCAAATGCGTGTCCGGATTTTATGTGTTTTTGGAAAATCGGGGAGGAGGGGATTTTTTTATTCAGTTTCACTTCCTGTTCCGCCCACGGAAGACTGCAGGCATGGAATACTAATGAAGCACAAAGAGACGAGAAGATACCGATACCCGCTATTTATCTATATCTTTGAGAGAGAGAGAGAGAGAGAGAGAGAGAGAGAGAGAGAAAGAGAGAGAGAGAGAGAGAAAAAAAAAATAAATGAATAAAGAAAGAAAGAGATAAGAATTTTTAAGGAAAGTACAAATGCATTATTTTAATTTAAAGTCTGTTTTTCATCGGGGCTCACTACAGATCCTTGCCTATCAATCTAAAGTACCAATGGAATGAGAAGCAAGGAAAAAAAGATGGTGAACAGACACGGGAACAATTGGTGAAAAAAGAGAATGTAAACAGAAAAAAAAAAAAAGACAGTAAATGGGTACGAGAGAGAGAGAGAGAGAGAGAGAGAGAGAGAGAGAGAATAGAGAGAGAGTAAAGATATTGTTTCTGGGTAGACGAGGCATGTACACTCTGAAGTAAGATGGCCGTATCTTGTTTTTTGCATTATTTGTTCCTTCATTAAAGGTGTTGGAGGTGAAATTCTTCGGGATTTTGGCGTTATCCGCCTCATAGTCAATTATTTGAGTCTTTGTGTAACTTCGAGGGAGGCTATCCTATCAGCTGGTGTTTAAAATTGGGGCTATTATACTGCCATTTTGTGAACGGGCATTTGACTGTGAGTAGATTCCAATGAAACTTCTCGATGCTTTGATCTAGGGTACTGTTACCAAACAATTCCATTCAGATTTTTCATGCATGCATCTTGTGAGCGTGACTGTCTCACTGCCTAGTGTTTACCTGAAACACACTATCCGATTTCAATCTCTTACTCTTACCAGTCAGGAAAAAAAAAAAAAAACTCCTTCAGGAACATTCTACCTCGAGTGGCTCTTGGGCCATTTATGGAAGTTAACATTACTAAAAAAAAAAATATATGAAAACAGAAAATTATAAAAATTACCCGGTCAGTTCAGCGTTCATTTAAATCCATGGGATATAGGTGCCGGAGGTAATGGTTTTCTTGATTTTAGCGTTATCCGTCTGATAATCAGGGATCAAAATATTTGAGTAACTTCGAAGGACGCTATCCTATCAGCAGGTGTATAATATTGAAGCTAGTGTATTGCTATTTGTCAATGCATACATCTTTTTGTGGGCGGGACTGTCTCACTACATAGCACATACTTGAACACATTATCTGATTTCTACCTCTTACTCTTATTGCTCATAAAAAATCCTTCAGGAACCTTCTACCTCGAGTGGCTCTTGGGTCTTGAGTGAACATTAATAAAAAATTAAATATAAAAAAGAAAATTAGAGAAATTACCAGATTCAAATACACCAGGTCAGTTCAGCGTTCATTTTCATCCATGGGGTATAGCTGCAGATGATCAACCAGGAGAACCCTGTTAACACTAGCTCACAAAACAGTGCGCCACCAGAACTTGTAATGTCACTTCCTTTGAGTGGCTCTTGAACGTTGTTTAGCAGATAAAATAAAACGTATTTCGCATAATCCATGTAAATACTCTACCGGGAAAGAAGGGGAAGAAAGTCGAAATAGAAAGTCAAGATCAAAGAGATGAGAGGCGAAATTTAGAGAAAAAGAGAATAATAAATTACGATAATATCAAGCATTCAAAACACGACTAAGAGGGAGAGGGAGAGAGAGACAGACAGACAGAGATATGGGGGGAGGGGAGAGGTGCGTATAGGATTTCTCATGCAAAGGAAACTGAATGATAGATACGCATTGAAAGAGTACGAAAAAGAAAAAGGAAAATAATTAGGGTAGTGAGTAATGGGTGAGAGGGAGGAGACAGAGATAGTGATAGAAAGGACATGAAAAGAAAAAGAAGGGAAGGAGATTAAAGCAAGAAAAGACCAGGAGAGATAGATAGATAGATAGATAGATAGATAGATAGATAGATAGTGAACAAGGGTAGATAGATAGATAAATGGGTAGATAGATAGTGAACAAGGGTAGATAGATAGATAGATAGATAGATAGATAGATAGATAGATAGATAGTGAACAAGGATAGATAGATAGTGAACAAGGATAGATAGCGTTGAAACTTGACTAATGCATGGAATAATAATACAACACAAAATGTACTTAGAACAACATGTATTGAAACAAGAAAGTGTACACAATATTTACATATAGTCTTTTGTATATTCTTGGGAAGACCGTTCCTGGGAATGTGTTGACTTAGTCGCAGTCGGGCAGAGTCTCTGGATTGAATCTCTTGATTCCTCCCTCTCTTCCCGGTACCAACCATATTTATATGGTCGGTACTCCACTATGCAAATTAGGTGGATCCTACCACAACAGATAGATAGATAGATAGATAGATAGATAGATAGATAGATAGTGAACAAGGATAGATAGATAGAGTGTGAACAAGGGTAGATATAGATAGATAGATAGATAGATAGATAGATAGATAGAGTGTGAACAAGGGTAGATAGATAGATAGATATAAAGAAAACAGAGTGCGAAGAGAGAAATACTGAGAAATAGATTTGTGTATAGGATTTCTCATGCAAACGAAACTGAAAGTAAACGATAGATACGTACTGAAAGAGTAAGAACAAGAACAAGAAAAATAATTGGGAAACAAAGAGAGAGAGAGAAAGAGAAAGACAGAGAGAAGTAGCTCGTTGTAGAGCGAATGTGCTAAGCTTAACAGAAGTAAAAGATATCAGGTTTGATAGAAAGGGAGTGAAGCTAAAAGAGAAAGGGAGAGATAAATAGAGAAAGTGACAGAGCAACAAAAACAGAGATATAGATAGATAGAAAAACTCACACAGTATTGTATCGTCCAAGTAAATGACACACAGAGAAGAATGAGTGCTTAATATATTCATTCAGCGCCAGTATCCGGTGCTAACGGATACATACAAAACACTCAGAACAATAAGTTACAAAACAATTAACAAGACAACTTACAAGGGATAGAGGAGGGTCAAATGCTGTATAGCCAAACGAAATAAGATCAGTCTGAATATTAATCAGCTTACTATCAACTTATTAATCAACTGTTGAAGTCCTTAATCGTAGATTATTTAAAGCTGTAAGCCAGACCATCTGGTAGAGTTCTGAACGGGTGCTAGGTACTCTACAACACACAGATAGATAGATACAGAGAGAGAGAGAGAGAGAGAGGGGGGAGAGACAGACAGACAGACAGACAGACAAAGATCAAGGGAGCATTTCAATGGTTCGGTCTTGTGTCGAATGAAGAGCTCTGTCGGAGGACCGACCTGCTAAACATCTTTAGTACCATCGCTCAGCTCCATGTGTATTGGCTCTGTCGAATGTCCTCCGACGAACTGATGACCGTCGTCTAACAGTGTGAACTACCACCTGTAAATACGTCGTTCACAAGCAGTAGACTATGCAGCTGCTGGAAGTTATTTCTCCTAAAGGTCGTCTCCAGGACCTCCACCTTCTTTCTTTTCAATAGATTAGGAGGATGTTCATTTTGATGCTCTCTGTAGAACCGCATTCCTGTTGCAAATTCATCTCGCGTCCAGCTGGCAGACAAAAAATAAAGCAGGTTGTAACTTAATACATATCCTGCAAACTGAGAAATCATGCTAGTATTTATATAGTAATACTTCCACTCAGGTACCAGCAGCCAATCACCCAGCCCAAGCAATGGACTATCCCACTTTAGCATAATGAGATGCTCCATTGCACCATAAATAGCTCTCTGTCTCTATGTTGAATTAGTTCTTCACTCAGCTTGCTCCACAACTGAGTGTTTATCTTGACCACGTGATTGTTCGACATGGCGCTGCGAACAGGATTTATGACACCTGAAAATTGGGAACTCTTCTTCATTGAAGCAGGCATATCCACCGACTCGGCCAAAACTCATGCAACAAGGTTTGCGGACGAGAAGCTGACAATCGAGAGCCTTCAAATGCTGGATCGATCTATGCTTAAGGAGCTGGGAGTCACATTAATGGGAGAAGCCCTGTGTATCATTAAGCAGGCTAAGGAATCCACCACCCAGACAACCCGCATTCAGGCACTAGCAGCCAAGCCTCCTCATCTCAATCTCGAGATGACACCACAGCAATTCAGGAAGTTCCGAATTGACTGGGATGTCTTTACCAAGATGACAAATATGCCAAACTCCCAAGCTAATATTCACCTATACAATTGTGCTGATGAGGCTGTGCAAAATGCCATAATCAACACACACCCTGACTTCTTTACCACTGATCCAGATAATCTACTTGACATGGTAGAAGTGTTGGTCACCCAGAGGTCAAGTCCTATTGTCCATCGCCTTGCTTTTGCCTCCATGTCTCAGGATGCTGATGAGCCAATACAAAGTTACCTTGTCCGCCTCAGAGCCGTAGCCGTTGATTGTAACTTTACCTGCCCCTCGTGTGAACATGACCTGTCTGATATATACATCAAGGACCAGATCATCCGTGGAATAGCAAATGACACACTCCAGGCTGACCTACTGGCCAAAGCTGGGGCACTTAAATCCCTTGAACAAAATATCCGTCATGCTGAGGCATTTGAATCAGCATTGCGGGACCAAACCTCAATGGCCAGTGCTTCAGATACAGCTGCTGCTCGGCTATCAACATACCGCAGACAGAAGGGTACACCACAAGCCAACGAGGCGATCCGTACCAGCACCTATTGCAACTGCAATGTTAAACCAAACCACCAGGCTTGCTTAGGTTGTGGCAGCCACCAGCATGGCACCTCAGGAACTGAATCACGCCGGCTAAAATGCCCAGCATGGGGACAAACATGTAGTAATTGTGGGAAGCCCAATCACCTATCGAGGGTATGCCGGGCTAAGAAACCAGCTCAAGCGGTCAGGAAAAGCCTAGAGGCTAATGAAGCCGCCATGGACACACTTATCGCCCACATCACATTCAATCAAACGACAGGCACGTATACGTCTAAAGACACAGGCCAGATAAGGGAAATTGATGCATATGTTGTTCCATTTTCGCCAAAACCGGATCCCAGACAAATTAAGAATATCCCCAGAAATCACAGCACTAGGATGACAATCTTTCCTGACAGTGGGGCCACCATATGTCTCTTGGGGGACTTAAGCACCTTCTGAATATGGGGCTCACTATCGACAACCTCATTCCATCAAGAAAAGTCGTCCGAGCTGTGGGAGGCTTTACGCTTGTATGTCAGGGTTGGCTCCCCGTGGAATTCATCGTCCAAGGAAGAACAACTAAACAAGCCCTATACATATGCAAAAAGATTCAGCGGCTATACTTCAGCAAAGCAGCCTGCATTGATGTAGGGATACTGTCCAAAGACTTCCCTGAAGCCAACAACTACAATATTACCCCAAACAACAATGCAACACATGCCCTCGACAAGCACACACAAAAAAAATCGGACGTGAGCCCTAAACAATGCAAAGTCGAGGGACAACTTCCAACACGCCCCAAAAAACTCCCTTTTCTTCCAACAGAACAAAACATTGATAAGCTCAAGAATTGGCTATTAAATCAATTTGCCGAAACGGCGTTCAAGAACAATGGTGAATTCCACCGATGTCTGGCCCCACTGCACATATACACCTCAAAGAAGGAGCAGTCCCCAAAGCAAGACATAACCCAATTCCTGTGTTTTTCACTTCAAAGAGCCCGTAAGACAGGCCCTTTGGGAAGATGTGAAAAGGGGTATCATAACCCCAGTACCCGTTGGCATGCCCGCTGATTGGTGTAGCACTATGGTAATTACCGCAAAAAAAAAATGGCAAACCACGAAGAACCATAGACTACCAACACCTGAATTCACAGTGCAAACGGGAAACACACCATACAGGGTCACCATTCCAGCTAGCACTACAAGTGCCACCTAAACAAAAGAAAACAGTGTTGGATGCTGTTGATGGATATCATTCCATCCCCTTAGATAAAGAGTCCCAGCCACTCACCACCTTCATCACAGAATGGGGAAGGTTCATGTACCTGAGAATGCCACAAGGTTACCTAGCATCTGGCGATGCCTACACCCGAAGATATGATGAAGTAATAAAAGACATCCCCGCAAAGTAAAAAAATCGTGGATGACACCCTACTCTATGACTCTGACATCGAAGGAGCCTTTTTTCACACCTTCGATTTTCTCCTCCATTGTGCAAAAAACGGCATCGTAATAAATAGAGAAAAATTCCAATTTTGCCAAGACACGGTGCAGTTTGGGGGCCTCCAAATAACATCTTCTGGTGTAACCCCTTCTAAATCCATGCTGGAGGCAATATTGAGCTTCCCAATACCAAAAACACTCACCGATGCCAGATCATGGTTTGGGCTGGTCAACCAAGTCGCTTGGGCATATTCACTAAGCCCAGTCATGCTTCCATTTCGTGATCTCGTAAAACGAGACTCACACTTTACATGGAATAAAAGCCTGGAGGATGCATTCCAGCAGTCAAAGAAGGTCATAGTTGACTTAGTCCGAAAAGGCATCGCAACATTTCAAAAAGAAAGAATAACCTGCCTTGCCCCAGATTGGAGCAAAGACGGAATGGGCTTCCTACTTCTGCAGAAGTATTGCTCATGCACCACTGACAAAGCCCCAGTTTGCTGCCCTGAAGGTTGGCGCCTGATATTTGCTGGTAGCAGATTCTGCATTGATGCTGAACGCAGATATGCACCTATTGAAGGCGAAGCAGCAGCAATTGCATGGGCATTGGAAAAATGTCGGATTTTTGTAATGGGTTGCCTGAATCTCATAGTGGTTACAGATCATGAACCACTAAAAGGATTATTCGGAGATAGAGACCTTAGTAAAATCCAAAAACCCCGATTATTCAGGTTAAAGGAGAAAACCCTCAGGTACAGATTCACCATTCAGCACTGCCCTGGGAAATGGCACAGAGCCTCCGATGCCGTCTCTCGTAACCCAGCAGACATCTCACAGGCACTCCTAAATGTATTCACTGCTGAACCCTCTCAATCAGACAGCATAGAGTCTGACAACATGGATGACTGGGTCAAATCAAAAACCTTATTAGCAACATTCGGTGCAAATGACAACCTGGAGCTCATCTCAGCAGACGTTATCCGTACGGCGGGACGCAGCGACCCGCAATAAAAAAAATTAATAGAAGTAATACAAAACGGATTCCAAAGAACGCGCATCCTCACTGCACCTGAAATCCGCGAATATTGGGAAGTGAGGCACCGCCTAAGTGTTGACGACGGGTTAGTGCTCTTAGATCAAAGAATTGTTATCCCCACCTCACAACGCGCAAAAATATTACATAGCCTACATTCTGCACATCAAGGCGAAGTTGGCATGAAGGCACGTGCCAATGAATCTGTTTATTGGCCCGGGATGAATGCTTCAATTCGTAATATTAGAGCAGGTTGTACGTTCTGCTCAAAAATTGCCCTGAGTCAACCAAAAGAGCCAATCAATTTGACACCATCTCCTGATTGGCCATTTCAGCAAATCGTCATGGACATCTTCCATGTTGGAAACCATGGTTACTTAGCATGCGCTGACAGGTTAACGGGCTGGCTGAATCTATACCACTTGAGCCACGGAGAAGCTAATGCCTCAAGGATTATTTCGATTTGCCGAGACATATTTCAAACCTACGGCGCTCCTGAGGAACTCAGCAGTGATGGTGGGCCACCCTTCACATCTCTTCCATTCAAGCAATTTTTGCAAGACTGGGCTGTTAAACAAAGGTTATCATCTGCTGGTTACCCACAATCCAATGGTCGAGCAGAGCTCGCTGTCAAAACAGCCAAGAGAATCGTAAATGGCAACACAGGAGCCCAAGGATCATTGGATAATAACCGTGCAGCAAGAGCCATCCTCCAATACAGGAATACGCCCATTCAAAACA